TAACTGTTATTATACTAACAGCATAACACAAGAAGAGTAATGATACGAGATGCCAATGTTTATTAAGAAACTGAAGTCATTATATATATATATATATATATATATATATACACATATATATATATACATATATATATGTATATCCAAGTTGCTATCTGAAATTATCTTTATTGCTTTTGAGATATTTTATTATACTTGATTAATAATTGTCAAACTACATTAGGAAAAAAACAAGTCAAATACTTGGAAGTGAGATATAGATTAATTATCCCATTGCCATTGGGTTGATTCTGATTCACGGGGCCCTGTAGGACAGAGTAGAATTGCCCCATATGGTTTCCAAGAAAACACTGTTTACTGAAGTGACTGCCACGTATTTCTGTTGAGCAGCTGGTGCACTTGAATTGTCAAATTTTGGGTTAGCTGCCAAGCCCTTAACCACTGTGCCACCAGGGCTCCTTAGATTAATTATGAAATTTTGTAGTGCATTCTCCCCTGTTCTGTGTGTTTGTTCCTGATTTTAAATTAAAACTTTTAAACGTTTTAGTTACTAAATTTTCATTAGGGCTGTACATAAGTACTTAATACTTTCAAGTATACTTGTCTCACAAATCAGCTCTCCATGGAGAGGGTCTTCAAATATCTATGTTTGTTCTTGATTTCATATTTTTCTCCCTTGTCTTCAATACACATATATATCTTGAACTTCCTTGTGTATTCATTCTGGCATTTCATTCCAGCTATTTATGCTACTAAATGGAATCCTGCTTGTCTGCATTCATTTGCATTCCATTTATTGAGAATGAGAGGAGTTTGTTTAGAAATGGATAGTCTAAGTAATTAATTTATGTAGAACTCTGTTTTCCAAAGAACGCAAAACAGTACGTTCAATGTTTATTGAATAAACATTTCTGAAAACCAATCAAATGACTTAAAAGATGGAAAAATAGTCATAGCGAATTTTAGTAATTTGTGAAAACCACAACAGTAGTATTAGAATTCACACAGTCTCATCATTCTGTTGGCTAAATAACGCACAATTACAATATGCTGGTTGTAAAATAGTCTTACACTTGAATTTTGCCTTTAGTCTGTATTTTGGTTCTTCTTATACTATTAACTTTTGTTACTGCTG